CACAGTGTAGGATGTTGGTACTGACACAACCGACAGTAATGAGTCTGTCATTGTTTTGGCAGGTGTACGTCGGCTTCATCTTTTTCCGCTCTGATTCAGTCTCACCCTCAACAAATCTGATGTTTAATTATAACTAATGAATAACAGGAACCACTTGCTAGTTTATTAAACATCACATCAGGTGTTGTTACCACCGACACTAACACTGTAAAACTCAGTCCTGAGGAGCAGGTGTTACTGTAGTTACTGTACGACTGTACATGATTGTACAACTTCTTGAATCTTAGAATCAGACTAAGGCAGTAACAGGGCATCGACGTAACGGTATTCCTGCCGACTCATCATCATGACGTCATAGAAGGGAAACTGTTCTGTTTTAGCCACCGATCATCAAGTTAGTCTTTGGGTTTTCTGATGATAGAATTCGGGTGACGTACGGACATCCTTGTTCACTCGTAGTATTACACATTCAAGTGAACACAAACCGTTTTCACAGTTCCTCAGTCGTAACAAGACTTTTTTACTGTGCAGTTACAAGAACGTTGATCAGTGAAACAACGCAGACGTGCAGACCAGGAAAATAAGGTCGTAGAGAAATGCACTTGAAGAAAAGCAGCTCAACTATTGGCTAACGTGGTCTAAGTCATTGTGGTGAGTTCTACTGGTGAAGGCCACTCACCAGGTTCACTCTTAATCCTGGGAACGTGATTGTTCAGCCAAAAGGAAGAGAAGCAAATCGTCAGCTCTTTATGCTCAAAGATATCTTTTAATCCGTACTCGCTGCTGCCAACAACCGTCAGTGACTTGTCGAACACGTTCCTCTGGATCTTTCTCTTTTACCACCAAGTCAGTTTGAATGTATAAGAATCGCCGTAACTCTGGCACCGTCAACTCGTTTTTGTTTGTGCCAACAGTTGTAAATGATTTTAAACAAACAGAAGCTGAGGAGTTCATCCAGAGGAGGTTTTTATTTTTAGATTTATTGTGTCCAGAAAAAAGCCTTGATAACAAACTTGTGTCCTGAGCCTGAGCAATGTTTAACATGTCCCTGATAAGATAAGATTTCTTCCTGATCTTATCTCATCTGTCCATCCACCTTATCCAGAACGTTTTGAGTTGCATTTGCAATTGTTTTAAAATATTTGTGTGAAAGCTTAACAAAACTGAATATTGTTATTAACGGGCGATGACAGTTTGGGTCAAAGCCAGTGCCAGAAAACCGAAAGAGCCTACGACCCCATGGTACAAATACCTTGGTCTGGATAAACTCCACCAGACTTTTTAAATCCTTATTATGAAACACTGAACTTCACACTGCATGGTCCAACTTTTAAAACAAATCTGCCTTTGACAGGCTGCCTGTTGCCAGGCCAGGCTAATGTCATGTAAGGTTGTGTGGTCGGCTTTTATGAGATTATGTGGTTAAGAAGTCCGTGAGGTCGGCCGTCTGGAGAGCGTGTTTAGCTAATGACACCTTGGGTTCAAAGTGGCAGTGAAAACTGAGATGTGGCTGAGCAGGCTTCTGGAGCTGCACTCGATCACACAGTAATCAAGGCTTCAGTTTGGAGGGCTGCACCTGATCCAGCTCAAAGGCAGCGTGTTTAAAACAGAACCCTGCTTCTCCCAGATCTCCACTCAGCATGTGGGGGATTTGTTTTTTGTTAAAGATCAGCCAGGAGAAAGAGTGAGGAGAGAGAAGAAGAAGAAGGAGGGAGAAAATACCTCCGTGTCTTACAGTCGCTCAGTGAAGCTTGAAAATGTCTGGGTTTTTTCGGCTGAGAATCAACGACGACCTTAAGATGAGCTCCAGTTAAACACATGATTAGATAAACTGATGATTCATCCAATCATCTTCATCCATTTGCCAGCTCACCAAAGGGTCACATTGTGGTTATTGAACCACTCACTCTCAAACTTAACATACTGTACCCCCCGTCCCCCAACCCCCCCGTCCCCNATTTAAAGCCTGTTCAAAGAAACTGGAGATCAAACCGGTGACCTTCTTGCTGTTAGTGGAACACACTAACCACTGTGTGGCCGCAGTAACAGATAATTAAATGAATTTACTCTACAAACTGTGACAAAGTCAAGTCAGCTGTGAGATTTCACAGCAGCGTGTGTTTCTCAACAGAATGTAACAGTTTCTGGTTCAAACCCAAACCCCTGGCTCACAGTCCCAGGTTTGGCCGCTGGTCATGAGGTGAAGGACCCGTCAAGAGAGCTTGTAGTTCCGTCAAACATGTATCCGTATGTGTTTGACTTGACTGGGAACAAAGACGACGCTGTGGCTGTTGTCGACTGATGTGGAACACGACCACAGTATGATTCATGTCTCAGAGGAAGGGACTGGTGGCAGGACGTGTCTGTGGTGTTTTTGACTGGCTTGTTTTTGTTTGTTAGTAGAGCTGCAACATGTTTTCTTCATGTTGAACCTTCTTTTCTTTTGCAAAGTGGATGAAACGCATTATTTGCAATTTTGAGAAAATGAACCGACGTGACTTTGTTGGGGATAAACATTACGCAGCTCCGCGACAATATTTGTATTGTTTTTTATTGTAACAAAAATGCTTTCGATTTTCGGCAACAGTTTACAGAACTAAAACGTGACTTTTGGCGCAGGAACACATACCTGTTGGAGACACAGCGTAAACCAGCGCTTCATTAAATTTGCTTCTTTCTGCTCCGGTACTGGTTTTGTTTGCCAACTAAAATGTTCCTGGACTTATCACATCCCACACAATGGTTCTTTTCCTGCCACCCACTGTTGCCACTGTTAATGGATTTTTGTTCTCTTCCTCTCGAGCTTCTGTTTGTCAGATGTGCGTACTGCAGGAATGTGGGCGTCGACATCACCTTGAAGATTTTAAAGAATGACCTCAGATGTAGCTTGATACTGTGTCGGTGATTACAAAACAACAAGTTCCTGCAGAACACCAATCATGAAACCGTTATTTAAATGATCATTATTTGAAAAAAGAAATCCTGTTGTACCAGTTCATGTGCCCGAACAGTAGAAAGCCTCTGTTTCATTGGCTAAGAGCTTTAAAGCTCTATTTAGCAGAAAGCCGAATTTCTCATTCAAGCAGCTCATTTATTTTGGGATGGGCTCAGACTGATACTAATCTCCATTACAATCAGGTCTGTTGCATAACACGGCCAGATTGAAGAGGAGATACTAGGTCATCCTCATATATAATTAAAAACAACAAATTACTAAAGGCTGCAGCACAAGTAACGACAGCCACTGGAACTAAATTAATTAGGAAAGGAAACCACACCAGTCCAACTGCTGAACTTCACTACAGATTGATCCATCCTCCTTACATCTTAAATTTGATCAAAATATACCAGCAGCTTAGAACGCGTCCAAATACTTGTGTGGTAGTTTATACACTTGATACAAAATACTGTCATGACTGCGTTATACCAGATAGTAACAACTGAGCTTTTACATGAAACAGTCCTGCCAAGGCCAGGATTTGAACCAGCAAAGCCAAGCCCAGCCTTTCATTATTACTACATGACAAGCTAACGTAGTAGCCTAGTCTGACCACTAGTCCATTATTGTTAATACATTATAACGCAAATGAATTAGTAGGTAAGAAGGCAGCAGTAAACAAAGGGACAACATGATGGTGTTGCTGAAGCTGGGAGAACATCTGGACTGGATTCATACGTTGGTTACCTAAGAGCTGAGCGCATGTTTTTGGCACGGTGGTCATCGTAGCAGGTTAGCTAGAAGCAGGCTAACAAGAAGCAGGCTAACTAGAGGCAGTAAAGAATGAACAATATTTTCAAACATGGAAATATACTGAAAAAAAATACAACACATCAAATTGTCACTATAATAAAAATCAGCATCAAGATGTTGATGAGTTTTCATACGTGTTAAAACAGTTACAGTCAGGAACAAACTGCCAACATGTTTTTAGGCTACGCCCTCAAGTGATATCAAAGTTAAAGTCATAAAACTGTATGAGAAGGAGAATGATGAAGGAGCTGTGTCTGAAGTTGTTTGGCAGCAAAGATGACATTCATGATATATATGCTAACTTGTTGTAGCATATTAACCTCTCTCCCAGTCCCACAAGCAGAACATTGTCAAGTCTTACAAAATGACTGTATTCTCTCTTAATTATTAGAGCAGTTATTTCCTCAAACTAAAACTACGAGTAATCCAATGAAACATGTCTGTTATCGACCCGACCAATCCTGTAAATCATGGACGGGCGTCAAGGGTTGTTAGCAATCGCTGAGAGCACTGGATTGATGTGATGGTTGGTGATGATGCTGGTGCTGGTTCATATAAGTCCATATAAAAACATAAACAGTATTTATTGAGGTAGTTTGTGAAGGGACGCTTTCTGTAGGATCATTTATTCAAAGACCATGATGATGGATGATGATGGATGATGATGGATGATGATGGATGTCTTTACTGACTTTGCATCTACAGGGATTTGTCATTTTTAGGATAGCAAGCATGGAGATTATCGGGGCTAGTGCTAAGGCTTCTAAACCCCATTTGTTTAAGAAAATATCTGTTTGCCACAAACAACAGCTCGACATCAGAGACTTTTCCTTGTGGTTGTATTAAGTTAGTGCTGTGTGTAAACACAGAGCACTGGAGGGGATGTGAAGGAGACCAAGTACAGAACCCTGAGGGACGCCTTTAGGAGGGAACAAACAACGAGGGACAAAAAGGTGATACACAAACTAAAGTGTCGTTGTCATCAGTGTGACAAAAAGGTGATACACAAACTAAAGTTGCTGGTGCTGTTAGTCAGTTTATATACCAACAGTTTGGTACAGCTTGTGTAAGAGCAGGTTACATGGCAAACTTCCTGATCTGATGTCGCTATTTAAATAATTTACTTTGTGAACCATGAAGAAATGCGACTGAAGAAGCCCTGACTCTTCGAGGCTCAGTGTTCACCTGTGTGGCTCTGAGGTGAATGACATTTGATCTGGGACCTAAAAGATCTTTGTTTGCTCTGCAGATTTGGATACGTGTCTGTGTCTATTTACTGCTGTTCATCACGCTTGAAGTGCACTCAAGTAAATTTGACGTCAACCCAGTGACAGATGACATCACTACCCTTGCTATTTTGGTAAGTTATTTTAAAAAATTACATTTCCTTTTGCATAACTTTCAAGGTGTCTGAACAGGACTTTTTCTTGGAATTCTCTCAGTGGTATTTCCTTCAACATTTGGTCTATTTTTCCACTTTTTCCAGAGACATAATATTCCAGAAGATTATAAAATTCCTGTTCGTTACGTTCCAAAGGAAGAGGTAAGATAGCAATAGCCTTTAGAAATGACTGAATGAAAGCATGAACACCAACTTTGTTTGGAGACCTAACTGCTCCTACTGATTGTACGACACTCTCTCTCGAGGAATGTAATTTCGATACCTCTGTATGTTCTGTACATGTGAAGGTATTGACAATAAAGCTGACCTTGACCTTGACCTTGACCTTCCTCTTCCGTTCTTTTTTCCTCCAGGGTGTAATGTGTTGGGTCAAATTAAACGTCTACTACTTGGAGGAGAGTTTAACGGATTTATCCCAAAAGTTTGGAAACATTTCAACCAACAGAAAAGACATTAGCATATTCATACAAATGCTCCAAGAACTGAGGCTCAACATGGGGTCCTTGGTGAGTTAAGACACAACACAACGCAAAAAAACGTCTCAGGATTGAGTGGAGCACGAACCAAATGTAGAATCCAGAGCAGAAGAATTCCAAAATAACAAATGATTCCATAGTTTTTAATTATTTCCTCTCAGTCTGATTGGTGAACGTTTGTTCGAGACAACTTGTGATTCCAGGTCTTCTTCAAAACATTAGTTGAAGACTGGATAGATACATGTACTTTACTGATCCCAGGCTAGTACACACTAGTACACACTAGTACATAATGTAGTTGCCTGAATACAAATACAGACCAATGGACTGTCAAGGAGCGCTGAATGCAACGTGTTTTGATGCTAAAACAATATTTTATTCAGAAATTAAATTCCAATGATTCATAATAATTCACTCTCATTTTCTAGGTCTACATTTCTATATTGTTGATATTGTTTGTTTGTTAAAAATCTGTGGTTTCTCGTTGTCTCTGCAGGAGCCAATCATGTTTGAGTTTGAGTGCCACTACAGGGAGGAGAAGTGGCAGACTGCACGATACTTTGACTTTGTCAAAACCTTCCTTTTAGCTGCACAGAATAGAGAAGACTCAGACGACTGCACCCCCCTCCCCTGTCCCACCACACCATACCAAGCAGAAGAATATTTAAAGGGTAGCTGCGTTTGTCTCTTTTTTCTCTCCTTGTCATTGTTTTGTGAAACTTGATGCCACCGTCAGTGTAGTTCAGGCCGACACGCAATAATAAAAAACACTGCGGCACATCGAGCAGATGTGATGAATGATGATCACAGAGATAATGTTGATTGATCACTGATCAGTGATGAAGCCACACGTTTGAAACCTCGTCAAACACTGAACCATTGACAAAGGCCAGGTCAAACTGATCTCTTATTCCATGCATTCCAGAATCATCTTCCATAAACTCTGTGATCCCTTGTTTTCCAGTAGTCCTTTCACCACAGCCTCTGTCATAAGAGGACGTTTGACTATGATGCAACCAACCGGGCAGCAGCAACTCTTCAGGAAAAAAAAAACAAAAAAAAACCAACTTTGTTTAGCGTTTATTTGGGAAAATCGTAAACTCTGGTGAAAAACTCACCGTTTCTCCAGTGAAAAGATCCCGTGCAGTTTGTGGGACTGGGTTTGTCGCCGCTGCTTTTCTCTGTGGTCTCTATTGTAGACAGGTTCTATTCAGGACAGATCTATTGTGGGTCTGCAGAGAAGCTTTTACCATTATCTCTTCACAAGAACTTATTAGGAGATAAAACCTGTGAACTGTCTCAGTGCTCAGATGGTCCTGGGAGACAGGACTGAGGGACGATGTCCCCAGACAGAGACTGTGAAAGAAAGGGACAAAACCGTTACTGTGGAAGTGTTGATTACACAGACGAATCTTCCCAAGCACTCGCTGTTTCTCTGTCAGTGAGTGTGTGTGTGTGTGTGTGTGTGTGTACCTGTACTGCTGAAATCCTGAGGACAATTTTCTGTACAAAGACCTTTGTTTTGGGGACACGTTGTTTCATGAGGACAACTGCCAGTCCCCTCAGAGTGAAGTTCATGACCCAGTTCAGAGCTGAGGGTCAGAATAGTGACAGTGGGGGGGGAGAAAAGGGGGGGGGGGGGGAGGGTGGCTGTGTAGGTGGTGGCGACACGTCTCGCCTAACGAGGCCGGGAGAGAGCGCTCTGAACACGGACACGGCTCTTGGCACGCTCCCCTTGAAGCTGCCGGAGCCTCGCGTGCCTC